TAGGGGGTGCTTGTTTACCAAATAATTGATTCATACTCAAAATCTAACTCACCTTTAACTCGACCCCACTATTCTTAATATTATTCAAATAATCAAATAATACAAACTAATCATTCTTATACATCACATCAATTTTAATTCACTATTCATCCATTCACATAATTTTATCTAACTATGACTTCACGTCACATCTCTCCTACTTTTACATCTAATCAACTTCAAATATTTTATTTTAAAAATTATTTTAATATAAACTCAAAATCTCACTAACAACTAACCATACTACGTTTTTCAAAATTAACCCTAATTAACAAAAAAAAAAAAAAAATCAATATGAACGGACTAATTTGTAAACAAGCACGCCCCATAAAAAATTGTTACTTTTTTTGGTTCACACCAACCCTGACCGTGTAAGTTCAAGTGTGAGCGTGTTTGTGTGAGTTTCCATAAAGGTGAAAAGAAAATGCCTGACCTTACGTATAGAAGTCCGGCTGTAAGAACCATCCCTCCAACAGCCCATGAGACCCTTTCATTGAACGGCATATAGAAAATCCATTGCCTAAAATCCTCGAGGATCTCTCTATCCTGTACGCGAGTCGAAACATCGGAAGGTGAATTTCTCCACGAATTTGCTATATAGTCTAGACTACCCTTCCCACCATAGCAAGATTCTTCCCCGGATGGCTTGACAGAGAAACCTGAGGCGCGGCAAAGCTCAGTGCCGTTAGAGACCCACTCTGAAGCTCTGCCACAGACAAAGTCACTCGGCCCACATGGAGATAAAACCTGAGAGGCATGATAGTGCAACCGCAATCAAAATGATGTTACAACTATTCTTGATCCAGCATAATATATATTTCGCGAGGAAACAAAAACTAACTGTTTACATAACGAAACTGCCAAGCGAGCTACATATGAATACTAGAGAGCTTCAGGAGTTGATCATGGCATTGATTGTGAGTCACTCTTGTTGGACGGTCTCACATCAAACAGTCACCTAAAACTAAATTTTAGAATCCAAAACAACTCATAAAGTACCAAATGGCTAAAATCTGGAAAATAATACAGAAAAAGACACCTGAAAAGCCCTAAAGCTAACATGAACCCCCCAAAAAAATTAACAAGCCCTAAATTTTGGAACATTTATAAACTATAAAAAGAACTAAAACAATGAAAACCCCTTAAAACTGAAAAACGGAATCCCAGTTTTTGGGCTCTGCTCAAGAAGACGGCGACACAAAATTTTCCTTTAATTAACTACAAGAAGCTCATCCTAAAATCAAATAGTTAATTCAAAAGACACAAAAAAAGGAAAAGAACAAGAAAAAACCTGTGTCTTTGCATCAATCGCAAAATATGCTGTAGAGCATGCTTCATAAACTCTATCACATAGGGAGGCACATACACGGGGAGGTCCCGGCTGCACACCCACTCGAGGGTCACAGACGGAACACTCCAGAAGCTCCCACAAATCCAAGCACTCTTGGCTTCCTTCTCCAGATGAGGAAGCAAGTCTCCTAATGGATAACAAAGCAGGGTGCGTTTGAGTCACATCACAGCAGGTATTTCTCCGGAATACCCTGCAAAGCGTTAGGTCTCTGGGGCCCTTGGTTGCCTTTTTGGGGGGTTTCCCTTCATTTGAGAAGGGGGGAAATCGGCCACCTGGAGAGATGCAGACTCCGTTCGTCTTCCCTGCATTTTTATTTCGTCAGTGTTTGTTCCAAGTAAACAACTACGCAGTCCTTTGCAAATAACTAAGAATCCTCAGCATTTTCATTTCCGCTCTATTCAAGCACAGGTATTTTCCTACTTAATTTTACACAGGGAGCATAGACCGTCTTAATCATTGAAGTACAAGCATGTCTCGTTTGAATAACTTCTGTCATCCTCGCACTCTATAATTGATGGTCAATATCAATAGCTTTCTACAAAGCCAATTGAATTTTATACCATTCACAATAGTTTATATCGGAGGAGATGATTTGGATCTGGGCGGAGGGCATGAGAAAACAATTTCACAAGCTTCCATAGTCCACAATGTGGATTTAAAATACACCAAACTGAGTGATTATCCAAACAACAAGATGGATATAGTACCTATGGAATATCCAATTCCTCAAACCCTAGAACAGCACAGCTCATTTATAAAAAATACGTAATGATATGAAACTTGAAGGGGAAATAGAAGCTTCCCCCCACTCACCCACACTTTAACATACACATGGAAGCATATAGGCACAACATATGAGGAAATTTTTGTGCAATTCATTATCTTTCGGAAACAAAAACCTTCCTTTTCTGGTCAATTATCGTTCGAACTCGGTTATCCGGGTTGAAATCAAAGCCACACGACTTTTTGTCTGAAAGAGCAACGCTTGATTAGGGTTTTGTTGGTTTTGTTTCCGATAGAAATTCTCCCAATTAAACAAGTGTACGCGGCGTATATACCTGCAACTGAACATAAATATAGTGCGGGAAAAATCACCACTCACCATAAGTAGGCAGAGTCAGCAACTCGATAGATGTCAGGAGGAAGAAGACGCAGTAAATTTCGAATCTCCTCATCCGTCACAGCTGAATGTACTGTGTCAGTGTGGCCAATTTCGTGATAGAATCCGACTCTTGAAAGTTGAACCTTTTGACGCAATAGAGAGACTTGGCTATATATATGTTACCCGAAATTAATCAAAACGTACACATATTTAAATAAAATAAGAAAATGGTTTTGTGCCGTGTTAATATAGAAGTGGATTTTTAATCAAGAGACTTGGAATTAGATATCCAAGCAAATTTAGACTTATATTCTTATTAGACTATTAAAATTATATAACACTTGATTATTTTAAATATATTTTAAAATCAATAATTTTTGTTTTTATTAACGTTGTTTCATGTATAATATATCAAACTAGTACGATACCCGTGTACTACAAGAGTACTTAAATATATTAATACTTGTTCAATAAGAAATTAATCTTATTTATATTATTATTGTGAAATTATGTATAATGAATATACAACAATAACAAATAACTAACAAAGTGATAATTAATTTAAGATGGCGCTCGCATTTTTTACACTAAATTTATCACATATAATATATTTTTTATATTTTTAAAATTAACGTCTAAATCAGATATTATTTTCAATTTCATATATTTGATTCAAAAAATTTAAAACAAATTGTGCATTTTATATTTATCAAGGTTTTGAAAACCGAACCGGTCATCGAACTGGTGAAACTACCGGTTCAATGGTTCGCTGGTCGGACCAGTGGTCGAACCGGTTTAAATTTAATTAATATATAATTATTTATTTGTTTTATGTGTATATTATATAACTACATATATTTTTATCATTAGTTTTATAGTGTATAATGACATTTCTCTATATACAAAATAATTGTATTTATTTTTTATCATTAGTTTTATGTGTATAATATATAATTATATATATTTTTATCATTATCAGATTAAACGTTAAAGTGTTATACTTACATTTGTATTTATTTTGTAAAATTGTAAATTTATAATAATAATAATAATAGTAATATAAATATCTGATTTTATTTTNTTACATCCAATGTTAGGTAAAATTGAAATATTTTTGGCTTGATTAGGCAATTTTATAAATAAGAATATAAGGGGCATATAAGTGTAATAAAAACCATAACTATTGGTAAGGGGTGTAAATTCCTCAAAAAAAAAAAAAAAGGCCAAGCATTTGAAATTCAGTGGGCCTCTTGAATGGCCCACGGAACAAGCAAGTAAAACTGTAAAAGAATAGGGAAACAGCTTGTCCCACATCGAAAAACTGTCAATCAAATGAAGAGTTTATAATGAAAAAATCATCCTACCTGTTTTGAATTAGTAGCCCCTTGGCCGGTGAAATCAATTCTGGTTTTAATAATTTTATTTTGATATGTATCATTTAAAAAAATCTCGAGATTTTTTTTTGCAATATTTAACTCAAAACAATCAAAAAAATTGAGAAATTTGTTACCAAAAGAAATCCCAAAGGTTATCGGCAATATATTATGTGTAAATAACTTTGAAGTGTGTTACCAAAAGAAACCGATATCTTAAAAGATTTGTTATCACAATATGAGATTTGTTATCACAATCAGATCAAATTTGTTAACAAAATCCGAAATTTGTCATCAAAATAAGATCAAATTTGTTACCAAAATCCGAGATTTGTTATCAAAATTCGTCAAATTTGTTACCAAAATCCTCTTAAATTGGTTGACATGTGGGGCCCATTGATATTGCTTATATTAGTAAGTCAACGATTAATTTTTTAAGTCAAAGTTACTATTTTTGTATTTTTCCAACAACCTCTTTATATTACTATAGATATTTGAAATGATATTCGCGTACATTATTAAAATTTGGAATGATTTGATATTATCCATCAAATTAAACAAATATTATATTTGGTAATATCTCTTTATTTTAGTATAAAAAAAATAAATGGGCTCACTTATGCTTATTCTTTCCTTGGGTTGCAATATTAATACATAAGCTTAGCCATTTCAAAATCTTTTTAGATTAATAGTTTAGTTACCCACAGATTTATCAAATAAGTGTTCGGTGAAGATATCTTTTTAGATTTAGTAGTTAGTTATCCACATATTCCATCATGAGTTATCCTCAGATTATTGTTCCAATATTTATCTCTACACCATTAATTTTGAATTCAAATTGTGATTTTTCGTAAAAAAAACTACACCATTATTGTTTTCAAACTTTCTATAAATAGAATGTCAAAGGTATTATTTATTTGGTCAAAAGTTTCCAAAAAAGATTTAACCAACAACCTTTTTATATATAGATAGATTGAATTATTAAGTGAATTTGTGCTTAATTTGGAGAAATTCAGGCAACAATAAAATACATGCAAACTTATGGTGCATAATAGTGATATGGATCCTGCCCGTAAATTGAAACAAGTTTTAAAGTAAAGTAGTTCCGCAAGTTTAAAGAGGTTTCGCTGTAGCCTTAGNAATACAATTTTCCTGTCTTAGTATAAAAAATTAAATAACTATAGGTACTTACAATTCTGATGAAAGTGTGTAGGGAAGCCACAAAATTGTTATAGGAATTCACCCACAGTCAACCTGTACACAAACTACACATTGGCACACAAATACACTGTATTAATAATATACTAAAGAATGACCTATAGAAGGATTTTCCTTTTATCACTCTGACAAAACCATCTCAGCAACTCCAATCTTAATTCTGCAGTTATCAAACTCAATCCAACGCCAATGAGTCGAGCAAGCAGACTTGTTAATCCTGTTGATATAACTTAGTATTGCCACAACAGAAGCAATCATAAGAAGCTTGGTACAAACATGCTTGATACTGACTGCTGGACACAGATCTAGAAAGACGTTCTAGAAGATTAAAAAACAATCAATGGTATTGGATTTATCACTCAATTCTCCAAATCAGCCAAAACATTTCCGCGGCAACTTTGGAGGATTTCGGCTGATCAAATTTGCCCACAGATTTGCGAGTGTGACAAAACATTCATCGTTTTCCCATGTTACCATCTTCATGCCTGCTTATTAAATGTTTAAAGAAAGATTAAAAAAAAAGTAAATGAAAAACTGAGATAAATTAACTCCTGGTTACCAAATTCATATTAGTTTGGCTGTGAAAAAAATAAAATACAGATAGATCATTATGGGGGGAAGTGAGAAATTTAACAGTTCCGTTATTTCCTTGTCAAACTTGCAACTGTACCACCTGTATTATGACTTCAAGTTTCTTCATCTCCTCTCCCTTTCTAATGAAGGTAAAAAACACTTAAATTTAATATAAGGGACAACTAAAGGTTTTTAGAAACATCTTTCACTTTAAATACTTAACAGCACTGTTTTGTTACTATATCATCTGTCATATTCAATTAAATTGATATGGAACGTTATGATGTTTGAAAATCAAAGATATCCTGAATGAGTGGATGGTATCCTACACCTTTACTGGTTAATCAAAAAGTCAACCAGAAAACATTTATCAATCCACAACTATATCAGTCGCAATTTCTGACCTACTAGCGAGTTCAAGGGGAACTATAGAATGAACTTCGAGCCATGGTATTTTTAAATTTGTCTACCTGGTGCCACCTTTTCTGTTAGGATTGACAGCCAACACCTAGATTCGTTTTCTGCAAAAACATATTTCTGGAGTTCAAATTCATCAAGATTAAGGATGTGCTTGATGGACTCGAGCAATGAAGTATCATCCAGTCTTGGTGCAGACATAGTTGATATGACTTCTTCAAGTCCTGAAGTTGCCCATACAGCATAGGATTCGTCTAAAAGAATATAGATACCCTGCAAGTCTGCGGAACTCAATAGAGTCCATGGCTTGAAAAGTTTGGCTGAAGCTCCAAGAACAACAACCACCCTGTAGATTTCCCCAATGGCCCAAAAGAATTCCCTTCCTGTCATCATTATTCTGAATTTTAGAGAAAATTCAAATGGAGATTAAGTATTAAAATAGCGTGTTCCCTTTAATCATCTTATGTTCTCTGCCCAAGAGAACCTTTTCAATTGTCATAAGAAACTGATATCCTTTCCCCTCATCATGATCAAGAAAGTAATTTATGACATGCAGTCAGTCAGTACCTTCAGGTTCAGTTAGTAACTGTCTTTGAACATGTTTCTCCTTAGCTTGACTCCAGATCAATGCACCATGTTTTAGTTCTTGAAGACATGCAGAGATCATCTTGGACCATAATGATATATATGCCAACTGTTCCTCTATGTTTCCAATAGTCAAAATCTTAAGCATGGTGATTGTGTGTCGTATAAGTTCCACGACAGATCTCAGATCCTTTTGCACCTGTAGTTCACAAGACAAGACATCATATGCAGCAAAGTTAAAATATGTCAGAACAGGAAGCCAGATAATGAGAACACGAGAGAAAAGTCCCGACCGCTGATTTTCAACTAGAATAAAAGTGCCAATGATTGTGGAAATTATGCATATATTATAGGAATATAATATGCATACATTTTTTCAATATTATAAAGCATATTACTATCATTTGAAACATCATGGAACAGATCACTTACTAGCAACAACTTTTCTGATAAGTGATATTCTGACTCAATTATTTGAAACCGTGGCTCTACTAATACTTGAACAAATCCCTTCATATTATCTCCAGGATGGTGATCCTGCTGATTAGTTTCTCCATAGATGTTCATTTGATCAAGTTCTTTCCAGACCAACTGCAGAAATTTGAGGATATCAGAACAAGAGTTATCTGACATAAACAATAAGCTAGAAACAAGAGCATATTAAAATTTCCTCTTAAACAATATACAAGTGCATCACAATAGAGATAAGGCTAGATTCCAGTTGAGACTATTGTGAAAACAACATGAGATTGTACGAAATATCTCTATGTACAAAAACTATGACAATAAGATCCTTTATCAGTTTATGCTCGAACATGTAACTGAATAAACAGTCAGTTAAACTCAAAGAGAACCTGGATATAACATAAAGATCATAATACAATCTTAGAACCATGTTTCTAGTGGGATGTTAATAGGCTTCAGAGTCTATTTAAATTATTATGATATTGTTTTAATTACTATCATAAATGAGACATGCTCTGTACTTATAAAGCACCAGGACATATTTTTTAAGCAAAATTGGAATTTCAAATTTAATCGTATTGTTGTCTAATGAAACTTTATTAGTAGTTTTCTTTCTCTTGAAATCAAGGAACACATGAAAAGCACTACCAGTTCTAATTTACATAACCAAATCTTCAGTAGTTGTAAAAAAAGGAAACGTTAGAATCATGATTGTATAGGTATAAGGTAAATTACACTTCAACTTAAATTCCATGACAAAATGATAAAAACTCAAAAATGATAGCAGATCATTCACCTGGAATTCACTATCAAGAGAGGAAACAGTTGAATCTTCACCAGAAAGAGCAGCATCATTTTGAGCTTCCTAATGAAACACAACCACATACAGCAAATTATCAATGACAAAAGAAAAGCATGTGTGTGAATGACTGAACATATGCTGGTAACTTTTCTTAAATGCATACTGAAGAAAATTAACTTTTTGAAGAGAGTTAAACTGCCTTTCCCATGAGACATACCTTTACTCTTCCAAAATGGGATTTGGCGACAAAAAGTAACTCTTCCTTTAATTTAATATAGAAATCTAAGTAACTATTCAGCTTCAGCTCTGAAGATGTATCTTCGCCACCAATGTCAACCCTTTTCTCCAAAGCATCCTTATGACTCCAGGATCTTTCATCAAGATGATCATCATGATTTACCACTGTGGAACTGGAAAATGCATTAGATATGCACAACTGAGTTTTGGCTGGTTCTTGGAAAGTGTTTATGGAAGAAGTGTGCTCTGGTTGGCTGTACAAACTTGATATCCAATCGTTGACAGAAATAGTTGCAGTAGGAATTTGACTGTTTCTTTGATCAGAAGTAGACTGGCGCTTAAACAGATCGGCTTCTGGTTGTTCATTTCCAAAAGTTAAAGGGAGGGCTTGTGTGAGATAATCCACTTTTGTATCCTTTTCCTATAGAGTGACAATCAAATATGGTAAAAGCGTACAAATTGAAGATCAGGCACCAAATTTGGGTGTATATTTCTAATCATATGATTAAGGCATACATTAATTTCTGAGTTAGAGGAATATGTTGAACTAAGGAAAGATAAGATTAAATTTTGGAAAAAATGAGAAAGAAAAGAAACAATGACTCTGGATAACACCAGGTATGAAATGACCAAATTGCAAGAATTACATTTGCATAATATTTATATAGAATCGCACCCTTAAAAAATATATAAGATGATACTTTAAAAACTAAAAAGGAAATAAACTTGGAGTGCACAAAATAAATCTTCAGAAAGGCAACAATGCAAGTAAGACATCTGTTTATTAGAGCAAGGAAAAGTTAAACATGAAACAGATTGAGATAAATTCAACACGTTTATGAAACTTTGATATACTTAATAAGTATGATGACGAATGCTCATGTTCTTCAACACGTGCATTATTCAACTCCTGTATTAAACATGCCTAACCCCTGCAGAAATAAAGGTACCTAAAATGTATTTTAAGAGTGTCAACTAGCCAGGAGTTGATATTTTCTTGTTAGAAGCAAAGGGAACATCAGCGATCACACCTACTGGCAGGTGCTGAAACTCTACCATGCATAATCCAGAGACTGCAGAACTTAGAAAATAAAGTATGACAGAAAAGCAACTTACCTCTGGCTCTAGCTCAGTTTCTGCTGAAGCAGCAGTAAACTCTCCAAAATCTTCATCAAACTCTGCATCTCCAACATCTGAATTATGTTTTAACAGACCTCTAGAATTATCTTGTTCAATAATTAAGTTTGTTTCCAAAGGAAATCCATCCCCAGTTGCCACACTTGACTGAACACCAAAAAAATCTACTTTTTGGATAGTGCTTTGAATAGCATTTGAGGTAGCAGAATTAGCTGATGGAGTTGATGATGTAACAAAGTTGAATGATCCATTTGAACCCTCAAATGCTTCAAGTGATTTGTTAGGTGTACTTCCATTCCAAGATGAATACGTACTCCTTTCAGAAACTTCATGCGCCACTAAGTCAACCTTCACATAGATTTTGTGAAATCAGAAAGCTAAGCTGACAGGACAAAATATTTGTCCCAAATATGTACAATTGTGTTTGTCGGTGAAAAAAAAAATGATAAAAGGTGAAAAATTGGAGGAAAAAAATATATATATACATCCTGACTATGGCATGTTTACACTTGTTCATCAAAACTTATTTTCATACACTACGCAAAAGATTCTCTCACAGATACACATATTAGCATTATAGTGAGACAATAACTTCTTAATAAGAACCCACATGTTAACTAGGATTGGAAGGCTACAGTTCAAAATCATATTTATTTTCTTTCAAAAACTGATAATGTCGACTTAAATTTGCATGATTTCATGTGATTGAGCTTACAACAACAACAACAACAAAAAGAACACCATTGAAGGTCTAACTAGTGAAACAGTAAATATTTAACCTGTTCTTTGCTATTTGGTGCTGATACTGCACCATTAGGATAAAGAACACCATTGGTAGAGATTTCCTGAGACAAATACACAACTTTACTAAACATAACATTGTCGATAATACTATACAGAACCAAATAAATGGACAAAACAGCAACTTACTCCAGGTTTCAGTCCATTTTCCGCAGGAGCAGAAGTAAAATCACCAAAATCTTCATCGAATTCTTCACTTCCATCATCCTTAATAAAATTTAATGTGGCTTTACTGTTATTTTCATTGAAAAACGAGTTTGTCACTGAAGTAAGCTCATTTGGCTGAATTCCAACCAAGCCTACTGCCTGAAACGTGCTAGAAATACCACTTGATGTAGCAACAACACCAGAAGATTCAGTTGAGGTCGCGAAAAGATTCAATGATCCATTTGAAGTCCCAAACAAATCAAGTGGTTTATTTGAGCTTCTTCCGAGCCCAGATGAGTATGAACTTCTTTCGGAAACTTCATGCGCCACTGGCTCAACCTTCAGATAAGTTGTGTCAGGATTGGGAATCAAATGAAGAATCTTATACAACAATTACCTAAAAATTGCATGACTTATAAACAAGGACACCAAACAGTGCCCTCAAAAAAGGTTGCAAATTTGACTTACTCCTGGTTTCGGTCCATTTTCCGCAGGAGCAGCAGCAAAATCACCAAAATCTTCATCGAACTCTTCACTTCCATCATCCTTACTATGATTTAATGTGGCTTTATTGTTATTTTCATCGAAAAACGAGTTTGCCACTGAAGTAAGCTCATTTGGCTGAATTCCAACAAAGCCTACTTCCTGGAACGTGCTAGAAATACCACAGGATGTAGCAACAACACCAGAAGATTCAGTTGAGGTCTCAAAAAGATTCAATGATCCATTTGAAGTCCCAAACAAATCAAGTGGTTTGTTAGAGTTTCTTAAGCTCGCAGATGAGTATGAACTTCTTTCAGAAACTTCATGCGCCACTGGCTCAACCTTCAGATAAGTTTTGTCAGGATGGAAATCAAATGAGCAATCCTATACAACAATTACCTAAAAGTTGCACGACTTATAAACAATGACACCAAACAGTGCCCTCAAAAAAGGCTGCAAATTTGGCATCATTATGAAGCTACAAAAAACAAGTCCTTACTTTATTGTGCTCTTCAGTTCCAAAATTTGAAAATGCATCCTTAAATTCCCATCCATCATCACCATCATCATCATTAACAGCAGTAGCAGTACTGCCCAACAGCTGCCCTTGACCATTAGCATCTAAACGCGAACCAGACTCCTGCACACTTGGAATAGCAGAATTCAAACCAGAGCCAAATCCAGTAAAGCCCTGCATCCAGAACAAGTCGCTATTCGAATTTGCATCCAATGGCACGTTAGGCTTCAAACTGAACTTGTTGTAGCCACTACTCTCCGCCAGCGCATCAAAACCCGCATTATTCAGCTCAGGAACAGCTGAGCCACCCGCATTCCCAATTGAGTTCGAATAAGATCCATTTTCGATGGGATCAGCACCACCAGATGAATTGGGATCCGATCCACTATCAGGCTTGATCTCCGGATATCCATTATAGATATCGATAATACCAAGATCCCGAGGCTTTGACGTGTCTTTTGGAGCTAAAGTTGGACTAAAATCCAGGGAGACACCATGATTGTATTTTTCTACTTCCACCTTCTCATTCTCCTCCTCCTCTTCATCAGCATCCCCGAAAATCGAGAGCGGCAAAGCGCCACTCGGCTTCACCCATGCCGGCGGTGAGGAAACGGGATTTCCGGTGAAAGAGAGGTCGGCCGGCTGTGACAGCTGCGGGGATTTCACGAAATCGCCCCATTCGTCGTCGTCGTCGTTGTCAGCGGTGGCGCCTCTCTTGAATTGAAATTCTGGTTGCGAGGTGTCGGCGGACGCGAACCCTCCGAACGCCTCATCGTCGTCGTCATCCGCCATACGAAGAAGGACGCACAAGCTTTCCTCTCTCTGACGCCGGAGGACGAATCCCGTGTGAGCAGAGCAGCCCGGTCGTGTGTGCACCCACTCCAATAAATGGATGATGGATCTGCTTCAGAAGTAGGACCCACTGGATCAAATAGTGTGTCTAAAATTAAAAAATTATGAAAATTGATATTATATTGATTATTGGCAATGCATGGGTTGTTCGAAGATTTATNCTGGATGAAAAAAAAAACTACTCCAAAATCATAAGGCTAGAGTAGAATTTCTACATGGACTTTACAAGTTATCTCCCTGCAAAGTCAGTATAGCCACTTGAAAACTAGAAACCGACAAGCTACCACCAAAAACAAAAGAACAACAAACTAGAGAACTAGATAAAAGCAAAATATCCGAAAAAAAGCTCTTTGAACCTGTCGTGCTCTGAAGACTTTGACAGAATCTCTTGCAGGAGAATAGGATCTTTGACACAACAGGTGAAGTCTTTGAGATCATAAAATAATGACAATTCTAAACCCCATCTAATGATTCTCAGTTCAACCTCCAACGAGCACTTTGAATAATTTTCAGAATGAGCTCAAGTTTTAAGCAAACGTTTTCCGGCTAAAACCACACATCCCATGCCAACTTGACCCCCTGAAGATTTATGAGCACTGACAGCTAAAAATAGCTGCCCTACCACACTAGAAAAATGATCCACATTATTTAAGGAGTTTAAGTCCACTCCCTTGTCCACAACTTCCTCCTTCTGTTTAACAACATTCAATTCAACCCAACCCCCTAAAGCTTTTTTAATGATCAACTTTTCATCCACCCAAGTGTTGTTAAAAGTCCACTTGTTTCTAGCTTTCTAGATTTCCCACAAGATGAAGGCTGAAAGACTCAGGCTTTTCTGACGTACAAGACTCTTGCACTCCTCTACAGACTTCAAACTACCAGCTCTTGAAGTTGGCTTTGTGACCTTCAAAATGATTCCACTGAACTCCACTAATCTTCCAACATTTAGCTGCTCTATCACAATTGATCAATGCATGGCTCACATCTTCTACTTCTTGACCACAACACTCACGAATTTCATCCACATGCATACATATCTTCTTCAATTGAATCTTCACTCCAATAAACTCAAAGCCACATCTCCACAGGAAATTTTTTATTTTGCATAATATAGGCAACTTCCACATAAGTTTCCATGCAGTTTGCACTTCTCCCTAAATGCAGCTTGAACTGGTCTCCTCTTGATGGATTTTCCTTTTATGAATCAAAATAGTTTTGTAAGCTTCCTTAACTGAGAACAAGCCCTTCATGCTTTCATGCCAAATGAGTTTGCTTTAGCCCCTTGGGCCTTTGTAGGAATATAGCCAAGATTAAACCTGCATCATAAGGGTTAAAGGATTGCAAAATTCTCTCTCTGTCCCAACCCCTCTGCCCATCTAACATTAGGTCGCTCACCTTTTGAAATCTCAGCTTATCACTCTGTAATTCACAGTTGGGCTTAAAGTTGGAAATGTTGGTGGAGAGATCAACAACCCCCAATAAATGTGGAGGGTCTCCTATTTATAGTAATATGAATTTGGTACTGTTCATCCTGTCACTTTGGATTGACAGATCCAATGCCGCTCTGACAGATATTAATGAAGTCTGAGGTATTTTTCAATGATGACCTGTCAGGCATTAAATGCGCACATGGGGAGAGTTTAATGCTGACAGGCTCCCCTACGAGTCTGTGCATAGTAGGGTTGCAAACTAGGCTAACACGTCTCATCTGCAATCATCACTTGATAAGTGGCAATATTTTATTGTTTACAGGCATTGGATGCGCACGAGGGCCGATCTCGGCGAACTTCCAGGTCGGACTCCAATCGTAACTTGAATTATCCTCTTCTCCTGGTCTTCGAGATCTCCTTTTCCTTGCTAGGCATTCGATAGAGGTCGACATCGACCCTCCAACGTCCTATGAGCCGCTCTGAGAAGTTGTTCCAACTTCCACGTACTACTCCCATCAATTTTGTTTTTTTGTTGAGCTCGGTTTTTCTACAAACTAAATGCTGACCCGATGTTTGGAGTCGTCATCGTCCGGGTTACCGTTCCCAGCCTGTGGGCCCCTCACGGCTCAACTCGGATATCAACATTAACAAAGTCACAATAATAACTATATTTTACACTCTATTTGTTAAAATATTTTTTTTAATATTGCGCGCGCACACACACACACATATATATATATTTAAATATATATTTTTAATATATATATATATATGTNTAGTAATATTTTTTTAGAAATTATTAATATCATTATAATATTCAGTGTCTTTGTAGTCTTTATTTAAGTTGAGAAATATATTTTAAAATATTTTTTTATTTATTTTATGTTCATACTTAGTTTATATATATTCTTTTCGATTAAAATAAATATTTTACGATATGTTAACATAAATCAATTTCTATTGCTTCATGAGATAATTTGTAGTGTTTTTTTTCATATTTTTAATTAAGTTTGATAAATCAATTTAAAATTTATTTATAAAGATATATATCACTGTTTTGTATTTTATATATGTGATATAACCATATTGGCGTAGACTAGACAAAGTGAAGGGAGGTCGATTAAGGATAAGTCGGCTTGGGACAAGTCGGCCTAAGGAGAGTATGTGAGGACTCGACCTCGAAACTAAGGCAACTCAGAGATTAGGCGTACCTCGAGGTCGACATAAATCAACCAGAGAGCCACAAAGACGACTGGAGAATTCTAATGACGACCTGGATCATACTATCACTCGATGATGACTTAACCTACCTCACAACTCGAGGTAAATTAAAGTAGATATTGTTAAAAGGGATCACGACCTAGGGCTAAGGAAGAAGGAATCTGAAGATGATTAGGATCTGACTAAGAGGTGATTAGAATATGGATAAACATTAAAATCGGGCAGTCAGGCAAACTGCCCGTGGGCATCTGGGCAGAATATTTCGGGCAGGTATTTTTCTATAAAATGGACTGAGGTATCACCTAATTTTAACTTTACGTTCTCCATATATTGTACTGCTCTTATATATAGAGAACCACCACCATCTTCTTGATACGGACTTTGGCATCGGAGGCTCTTCGCGGAAACCCCACCGGCATTGAGTTCTTGCAGGTACACACGCGACAGTTCAGGCAGATCGGAGCTTATTTTAAGCGGTCTTATCCAGATCCGGGTGGTGACCTATCAATATTAGTATGCAAAGACTCTCGACCGACTGGAATTGGCCTGCTCACGAGCTTCGTCGGTTGAACGCCTTAGACCTACAAAAACTCTCACACCGGAGGTGTTTACCGGTGAAAAGCCTCTGATACTTAAATGAATATGTGTAGAAGATGATTTTCAGAGAAATGTAGAATATTTGAACGTATTAACTGAAATTGTACATCCCACCCCTATATATAGGGGGTGAGGTACCTGCTTCTAGAAGGCTGTCCGGATGTGATGAGCTGGCTGCCCAGGCTGCCTGATAATACAACTTATTCTGCACAATGTGTCAGAGACGGTTATGAGACATTGACCAATAAGGTAGTGCCACGTGGTTTCACCCACGTAGGGGTTTAATTCCCCTAAGATTCCTTCTTATCCCTTAGTTTTTCGTATTAGGCCGTTTAATGTCACAACCAGCTCTAGGTCAATTGAGGTAAGGTGCAGACTGCTCCGGGTCTGAATTTTGGTCGATCGCACGACCATTTGAATCTACAAGCCGAGTTTCTACCAGGAAATGTAATATATGGTAATGTAGGGAAAAAAAGACATATAATAGCTTATAATAACTAATTGTATAAGAAAAGAAGGAGTAGATCAATCACAAATTAATGTGAACAATATAGATATTTAATGCAATCCAAGGCTAATTATTTTTTTTTTAAAAAAAATATATATTTATATCCAAGTCTGGCTACGAAGCATAATTTTTTGCCACATAGGAATACGAAGTGTGCGGGTCCACCACTTAGGCTCAGCGCATTCGACAATTATATATAAGGGGATGGTGATTTTGATGGAAT